TAACTGAAATATTTTTTCATAAAATCTGAAACTGCTCATAGGTTTTTGTAATGTCTAGCAAGGTTTTAAGAGCTCGACGCGCAGCACGCGGAAATGGCCAATAAAGGTTGTAGATATACAGCAAGACAAGTTAATCCGAAACTGGTACTATCTTCAAATACGCGCCTATGCAAAGATGACAACATTGTCAGTGTAGAACGCTAATGGACAAACACGCCATGGAGTGACAAAGATAGCGTCTAAAATGTTTCGTGGAGAGTAGACTATTAGTTGCACTTATCTTAAATTTACAATTTTTCAGCCGACCTGAAAAAGATTTCCTCGAAAATGCTAATCAGTCAAAGGATGGGGGATAAGTAATACCGGCAACAATCATGATTTTAAGCACCTACCTGATAGATTCCCCAGGAAGCGAAGAACGTGAAATTGGCTCCATCTGCTTGAGTGCGCAGGTACTCTTCCAGTGGAAGAACTCGTTCCGTTACTATTCGAAAAGAGGTGGGTAGTTTTTGGGTCGCATCAAGAGGCAGAGAGAGCGAAGTGCCGTCCTGCCAGGCGAGGATATTGGGATGACGAAGAGTTTTCATTCGTTTTACTGTCTGTGCTAGGGTCGCTTTAACATCCATAGGCAGTGAGGAAAAGTTGGTGCAGGTAAAGACCGAAACTGGATCGTTGGTCTTGCGCGATACACCGTTTTGAAGGCTCCATCGCACACCGAGTGGACCACTGAATTCTGCCAACGGGGAGGTGTCTGCGGTGTCCCCGCCTATACTGTAGTTCGCGAGCACGTCATCGCCAGTCCCCAGGGCAGACGAAATGCCCGCACTTAATGAGCTGGCGGTCGGCTTGCTAGTGAAAAGCCACATCTGAAGAGCGAACTAGAATGGAAAAAGGATCGTCATTCATAAGCGCAGCATTTTTTAGTACTGAGAGTATCGGGGAAAAGTAGGCTTCCCGGAAACAGCACGAAAGACAAGATTTCTAATCTGGTTATTGCAGGAAATCTGAAACCAGAAGGGTCAAAAATGGACCATCTCATTGTACAGATTGTTAATGTTATTCGGATTGGACACTCGTGTTTGTGACAATGATGTAGAGTTTGGACAACAAAACGTTACGGGGCGTTAGTTCACATATTCTTGTTGGTAAACATGACAGTAATAGCACAGTCCGAACGTTCTTGCGCCAAAGCAGCAGCGATGCGCAGTTGGGTAGGACTGAGCCAGCAATTCTCGTTCGAGTAA